TCAAAGCTTTAAGTCTCTCCATTTGTTAATGACAGTGGTAATGGTTCTTAATGCCACTGTTGACTGCTGTTCACTTTACATGGTTCAAATGTTATTCTGTTATAGTTTATTAAATATTTTATTACACTATTTGGTTCAGAATATATTTTCCCTGTTTTCCTCCTCTAAATATTATGTGCGTCTTAAGGTCCGGTGCATTTTATGGAGCAAAAAATACGGTAAATCATTGTAATCCATAATGAATTCTTCTAACACAGCTCATGTCAAAATTAACTTCAAATGCATATGACAATTACTATAAAATAAAAGAGCATTACCACAATTTGGAATTGGCTTCTCCATCAGAGATATTCTCTGGTTGTAGTCATTCATACAGTAAAAATCCTGAACTTCTGTTTTTGGATTCCTGGTCTCTTGGAATATCTTGATCCACATAATGTCACAGGAACACTTGAATGGATTGCCTTCTAAAATCCTACAGCAGTAAAAAAAATAGAAGAAGTTAAAGACATTTTAAAAATCAGATAATATACAAAAGGATAGATCGCAGGAGTGATTTCATCTTTAAAAAATTGTTCAATACTGTACAGTGGTTTCACAAGTCATACACAGGTTAGTTTCCTGATTAATTTAAGATTGTACTGAATGCCTTCACTGTGCCCATAAGTATGTTAAGTAGAAACAAAAGCCCAACTTCCCTCCATACCCACCAGATGTGCTTTGATCCCCAGACATCCACAGAACTTACGTGCATTGTCCATGCACTCTAATATAATTAAAAACTCAGTCTGTATCTGAATAGAACAATTAATTCTGAAAGTCTTCTACTTCAGAAAGTACTCTCTGTGTTTGTGTGTGAGAGAAAACGGAGGTTGTTCATGGCCTCTTCTAAAATGCATCATACCACCATTAGTTTTTGTAAGCTCTTCTACTGAGAATAAACAATTTTCTATAAATCTACCTTTCACAGTTTAAAACTGTGTATTAAAATAATGAAGGTGGGTATTAGAAAAAGCAGCCCTGAAAATGAAACTCCGTTTAAAAGTATGGCTTGGAAATAGTTTACTATAGGCATTCAAAACAATTGGATAGGTTTCAAGCTGAGCAAGACCACTCTACCGTAACATTCTGACAGCTTAGCAATGTTTTTGTTAAAACTTAGAGGTGTTGTATGTAGTTCTAATAGTTTGCACTCTTTGTAGTTCAACGCCTTTGTATTACAATATTCAGGTCTACTAAGAAATCTTTGATGCTGTGGGCCCTTGTAACTCCGGGGTCTGCAAAAGATATAGTCGAAAACAATGTTATCAGCACAATGGCAACTTGCCATATATTAAGTTAGAAACTTCTGAAATTGCAAATTCTACTGGGGGGGTTGATTTAAGATTTTTCATTTATGCTGTGATTTTATAATTGCTTATGCTCTAATATTGTTCTTTTTGGTTGTTGTGGGTTTTTCGGGCTCTTTGGCTGTGTTCTGAAGGTTGTTCTTCCTGACGTTTCGCCAGTCTCTGTGGCCGGTATCTTCAGAGGACAGCACTCTGTTCTTTTTAGCTATATAACTTTGTTAAGATATTTTTCATAGATATGACTTAATTGGGGAGTTAAATATTTGTAACTTTAGAGAATATATCCTTGTAATACTTTTATTCTTAACTATTTTGTAACACCTACTGGTTTACTATTTTATTTTGATGCATCACATTAATTTTTGTTGGAGTGTTTATGATTGGTTTGAGTAGTTACTTATATATACTCTTATTTATATCATTATTTTTTTATATTTTTATTTCTATAACACAGTGCTAGGTTTTCATAGTTAACATTTTGGGTATATAACCATAACCATACATTAAATATACAACCATATACTTATTTATATATGCTTATACAGTATATACTATTCAATATTCAGAAGAAGGGAGGCTTATACAAGGTTCAGAATATTCCTCTGGGCCACACTGGATTTAACCCCTTTAGAAATATATGTCAACTGTGAATAATACCGGCTTCTGTTTTTTTTCCTAGTGGTCTATTAAATTTTACAAAACTCTTAGGGAGGTTCAGGAATCAGGTTATCTGATCTGACAAATTTTGACAAAGCAAATAATTTTTTTAATCTACTAATCTAAATCAGCACTGGGCAAATTGTGCTTCTCCAAATGTTGTTGGACTGTAAAACCCAGCAAACTTTTGTTGTTGTTTAACCATTTAGTTGTGTCTGACTCTTCATGACCCCATGGACTAGAGCATGCCAGCAAACTAGACCAGCAAAATCCATGATGGGGGCTGATGGGAGTTGCAATCCAACAATATCTGGAGAGTTACAAATTGCTCAGCCCAGATCTAAGAGATCAGTTGATTAAATGATGCAGCCTGACAACTAGGTCTTGAACTGGAGAAAACTGGTGTGATGCTGCTGAATTCAGCAATCTTTTGTTCCACATTTATGTGCACAGAAACAAATATTCAGCCTCCTGAGTAATTTAATTCACTGTAGCAAAACATATTCTGGATTGAGAATAATATCTGATGCTGTTTATATTTTTTTCCCATAACGGACTTTTGGATGTGTTCTCTATTCTGGGATAAAATGAGCTCCCCCTTATGGTCAAACTGACAGAAATATGATTCAAGTAAGAGATGTAAATATTTCACCAATAATAATAATTGTCTGCAAAGAGAAATAAGGTTTAGCCAATGTGAAACACTACCAACAAAAACACAACAGGGGTATTCTGAAAAGCATATTCTGAAAAATTATAATGAAAATGTTGTTGATTTATTACTGTTAAAATGTGAACAACTGTGCTACATAGTAAATACACATTTACTATATATTTACATAGGTATATAGTAAATACATAAAACTGTATGCCCCATCATTTCCCCCTCAAACACCCAATTAGAAGAAGAAACAGAAAAGCACTAATTACAACAATCTACTGGAATCATATTTGATTTTAACACAGTCTTCAAATTTTTTTGCCAACACAGTCTCTGCAGAATACTTTCAAAGTTCAGATACTTTCAAGGCTGTTTGACTAGACTCAGGCCAAAATAAATAGACTAAGCAGAGTGTTTTATAAATCTGACAAATTCTCATTAACAGATTTTAAAAGGTTAAGCATCCACTCCTATTGAGAGTCATTATGGCTTGGGTCAATAGTTAGGGTTATGTCCAATAGTATAAATGAGATAGATAGGAAGGGAGGGAGGGAAGGAGAACCCTATTTCCTGAGGGGATGGGAGAGCTAAAAGTAACAGAGAACACTGAATTCCTGAGGGCTACATCAAACATGAAGTTAATAATGTGAATGCGATCAACGTGCACATTTTTGTTATGTAGACAGAAAGTAAGAGACGGAGTCTCAGCAGCCCTGAAAGATAAACTTAATGTAGTAGATCATCACTAATGCATTGTATAACTTATTTTAAAATATTAAAAATATTTTCTTTGCCTTGTCTGAGGGTCGAGTTGAGAAACTGCCTACAGCCAAATCTGTGATAAAGCAATTTTTAATATGTATATTATATAGTAGGAGTATATGTACTACAGTCTAAAAATTTTTTCACTTCCCTTCCCCTCCACCAAGGAACAGCAAAAGGGTTCATCCTGCTAATATCCTGAAGGGCTCAATTATTAGAACACTTCATGATATCAGAAAGTGCAACAGGAAGGAGCCAGATAAAAAGAGGGTCCCTCGAGCTCCGATATGCCATTTGGTTGCAAGGACTGCATAAAACAGCGTATCGCCCCTCTAGCCAATCCAAAGGAACCCTATTTAGCCCACACCAGCCCTCTCCAAAAGGGACAATGTGGACAAATACTGAGACTGAGATCTATAGAAAGACAACATCAGTATCTGCCAAGCTGCTACAACTAGAAAGGTAGCTTTCACTCTGTTTCATAACTAGTCCAAACTAAAGCTGCATCCAGGTCTACTCCAAAAAATATGAGATCAGGAACCTCTAGATAAAAGACCTGGAAAATAGCTAGAAATAACCAGACCCCAGTAAAGTTACTTTCTGGACCACAGTTCCCACAACCTTCTAACCAGTATAGAATATTCTGAAGGTTGTACTCAAGAAAGTAACTCTGCCAGGCCCTGGATATAATCAGTGTACAGTACTCTCAACATTTAATTACCCCATCAGACATTGGGGTGGACAGGGAGATGACAGCAATGCCCAATAATCTATTTGTTCTTCCCCATGCCAAGTGAATATTATGTTTATATTTATTTTATGCTGCTTTGTGGTTTTTTGTGCACTTTAACTAGAATATAGCAGGTCTGCAATGCTCCTATCCGAATCCGTAAAACCTTAGGGGTGCTTTTATTCATCTCCAATATATGTGCTCATCAGAATGTAAACTAAATCCCCAGAAAGATTTAATGGGATAATGGTAAGCAATGTTTCCTCAGATTTCAGTACAGCAACACAAGCCTAGCCATAAACACTGTGTAAACAACACAAACCATACATATGCAATTCTCACACCTTAATAATCAACCCCTCTACTCCATGCTCAGTACACATCATTTGTGGTTTATTGCTCCTTCTCTTTTCTCAATAATATTTTCACCCCCTTCTCTTTCTGGAATAATATTTTCTTCTGATTATTGCTAACCATTTATTGCTATGTTTTTCAATATGGTCTTCATTCTTATTTTTCCAGTAACTTCCCATCTCCCTTCAAATCTCTACTTTATTAGATTGACTTGCTGTTAGCATCCAAATACCTCATAAACAACAAATTTAATCTCTTGGAAGTTCTTTAAAGCTTTGGCCTTTTAAAACCCCTCTCAACTCATACCTACCCTGACATCTAAAAAAGAAACCGATTACACAGAAGTCAAAGGACAGTCAGTAAAGAAGATTGGATTGTTTTTATTGGCAATTCCATTTATTATAAAGAAAAAATTAAATTTGGTCATTAGAGCATTTCCCCCTCTTACAGATACATGAGACAAACTGCTCTATCAAGTCAATTTACATAATACGGATTAGATGTTCAGTTTAGTCATCAGCAGAATGCCTTTTTTTCTTAAATTAAAAAAGCTGTGCTCACTTAAACCCTTGTCATGTGCTAGCATAAGCTTTTTGAACTTTCAGAGTTCATGTGCACCCATACGAAAGATCAAAAGGAATAATGTAAAACACCATCATAAGGCATTTATGTCAACACATTAATATGAGCTACCTAAAAACTATCACATTCATCTGAATAATACTATTTTTATTACAGAGGTTATGTCAGCTAAAATACTAGGAGCAGGATATTTATTAAGAAACTATTCATCTTCAGGGAAAGGCTTGAAATGTTTTTTTAAATGAGACTTTTTCAAATGTCAAAGGATTCTAGCATTATATATCAAATCAGAACATTTTATCAGCTAATGAACTTTGCCATACAATGAAATATTCTCTGAAACATAAAACTAGAATAGTTATATTATTGTAATTATCAAAAGTTTTCCTGAATACTGGCCATAATCCTATTGCTTATGTCCCATTATGTTAAGTCAGATAGTGTAAACTATTATGGCACCTTGCCACTAGTTAAAAAGTCAATGTTCATATTTCTTCTTGTCTGCCAAGTTATGCAACTGGCATAGAACACACAATGCAAACCTTAAGTTCTTAACTAATGACAATTCACCATAGCAATTTACACTGTTTGTCTTGCAGGACACTACTGTAAGGCATAAGTAAAAGGATTCTGACCATTAGGTCCTTTCCTTTCATGTAAAGTCATTAATTTTGCTTGTAATGTACAAGCTGCATTGACAAGCACAATGTATGTCAGCTACAGTGAGCATCAGGTTTATGTTACCTATGCCCCTCCCATAAATGATCAGGGAAAGGCCCACAAAAGCTTTTCCTTCTGTTTCTAATTAGCCACATTACTGTCTATGATTTTGACTAATGCTAACTACGGTTTGTTTCAACAAACTGGCATCAGAAATTATACCCTGAAGTTGGCTTGTCTGAAACCAATCAGTATTAATGTTAATCGCAATTTGTCACACAAGATCGCTCATGATACTTCACTATTAGCTGAACTGGGTAAGGCTGATGGGAACTGTAATCCTAACTACATTTAGAGTACAATTTTTCCATCCTTGCTTTCAATCATCACTTTATACTTTGTATTTGAGAGCAAAGACATAAAAGACATAGTGAAACCTACTCCATATGGCCTGGTGCCTGTAGAAGCAGCCACATAAGACCTTAAATTGTATATTCCCCAGGTGAGGGGGGGCACGGGGGGAATTGCCTGAGCTCTGTTTTAGGAGATGGGTCATAAATTCCAAACTGTTAGCCAGGGAAAGATGGGCCATAAATTCCAAACTGCTAGCCAGGGAGGCTCTTTAAAAACAACTTGCATACTGCACTATCTCCATCTAAGAAATGAACCTGGCTTCAACATCCTCAGCCATGTGGATCTCGGACATTAATAACAACATATAAGTTGGAACAACCCGCATGAACTTGATACACAGCCTTGAATAAAATGTTTTATCATGTCAAGCTAGCTGTTTGTTTTTTGTTTTCTGGGTTTTTTTAAGTTTATATTCTTAATGGTCTATTAAAGGTATCTCTTGTACCCTTATTTATATTCTCCATGTTGTAGCCAGTACCAAATAAAGAAAAGAAAAGAAAAAGCACAACTGTAAATCACGAGTATTTTCATCATTATCATCTGCTATCGTCAATTCCAACTTATGCAACCCTTTTCAGGGTTTACCACGAAGAAAGCAGTTTACCATTCAATTCTTCTAGGGATACCCTGGGACTGTGCAGCTTGCCCAAGGCCACACAGGTTGGTTCTACTCCCAGGAGGAACAGTGGAAAGCTGAACTCCCAACCTGTGGCTCTCCAACCAAATAACTAAACCACTAAGCTATTCAACCAGAAGTATTTTACTGATATTCAAAACCCTAATATACTGCTGCTGCTGGCAATAATGCTAATAATATTCATAACAGCAGCAACCTTCACCTCTTAAAAATAATAATAAAAAGATATTACTCACAGATCAGTCAGATTCAGATGTCTGAAAGTCTTTCGGAACAAACTTGAAAGCTTATTTCTTGAGAAGTTACTGTAAAGAAAAATAATAATGCCATTATTAAAAGAGAAGATGATGAGAGGGGAACGTTATAATCTAGGAGCTAGTAAACTTTATTTTGCACTTCTGCTGGGGGAATGACCTACAAAACAGCTACAGGGTGTCCTTTCTCTTGACTCAAAACAAAGATAAATGCTGGTTGCAATGGGTACCTCTGAACAGGTCCATTCCTGTAAAATAAAAATTATGGATTAAGTTCTACTCCAAAGATCTGCTCAGAGACTGACTTCATGCTCAATTTATTTATAAGTAAAATACATGTTTATCATTTCTTCTTTGATCCTTCATCAAAGTCTTCCCTCACCTGAACACTGACCACATGCCAAATATGTTCATAAGCCTTTTAAGATATGCTTTTCTAATTGCATGTGCAATGTGTGCTCACATGAAAGATCACAGCAAAAAAAAAAAGTAAAATGCATTCATTAGGGTTTTCCCGTCAATTAAGCATTTACTACTTCATATTAAAATGAACTTGAATGCCTTCCACTAGACTGAAGATCAGAAGCATTCTTGTTCCAGACTAGGTTCATATGGGCATCTTACACAGTGTGAGGCACACAAAACAGAAAAGTCTGCATACTAGAAACACACCTAATTTTTAATGGGAATTATATGCCCATCAATTATATGGGAATTACAGGTTGACAGGTAGACTGTTGGGTCTTTAAGCCAAGTAAAGCTCATGGGTGGAAGAGTTTTCTTGTTTGAAACCTACTTATTTGAAAACTATCACTCTGGTGGTTTTTGTTCCCACTTTTTCCTGTTGGGCCTGGAAGAAACATGGGAGTTACCACCATTTGCCAATGATGCATCTCCACCCTAGGACTGGAGCTGCGTGTACTCCAAACTCAACATTTTACAGATAGGCTCCATTAATTTTGCAGAGACATAGCTCAGGCAAACCTGCACAACTGAACAACCACATGTGTAAACAAAGCCCGTCCTTTGACAAATTACCATTGACAAATTACAAAACAAAGCACACTTCATTGGTAGTCTATGGAAAACATGAAAGAACACAATCCAAGAATTTTAATACTTAAAAGAATTTCCTCTTCTAATGATGAGCTATCTGTACTGTACACTTGGGCCCTAAGGGAAAAGCTAAGCACTCCACAAAAAGGAAGTGAAAACACTGTGATAATTAAAAATGGAATCAAGAAAATACCATTATCAATTTTTGTTCATTTAATGTTCAATTGTTGAGCTATTTGACATACATTAGGACAGAACAGGAAACACGTAAATTCATCTACAATGGCAAAACATATTGGACTGGCCTAATTTACACACAATGCTGAATTATAGTTTGAATTATACATTGTCTCCACCCTGCCCTTATCCTCTCCTTTGGGATGGCTGCAAGGAAGACACTGGAACCGTTTACATCCACTTTCAACCATCCAGAAGTGTTCCTTATACCTAAACACTACTGTTAGTGTTATCTGTAGTTTAGTAAAGTGTGCCAGGATTTAATCACGGTTTGAGGTTGGCTTGTTTTAGTAAACCATGTTAACTCAGTTTGTCTAGGGTGAACACACAAGGAACCACAGGTAACAGAAAACAAATCAAAACTTCCTTCCAGGGGTAGAAGAGAAGAATAATGAAAGTGTAGAGTGAACATTAAATTATAATTCAGAATTGTGTGTGAATACAGCCAGTTTGAGGATGCCTCACTGACAAACAACTAATGAGACACTTATCTTATGTAAATCAATTAATAAATATCAAGAATGGGGGAGGTTGCAAAGCTACAGCAACTCATACTCATTTTTATCTATTACCTCCCATACAGTTGTCTGCCTCTTTCCTTCATGCCACTACCTTTCTTTATTTCTCCACTTCACAACTCTTTGGGCAAGATTTTCATTAGGATCAATTATAAATTCACAAAATGTGAAAACTTTCAAATTCAATAAAACTTTTCTGCCATGCAGATATGCTATTAAATTCAGTACAAAAATGGGAAGCATGGACTTGTTGAATCAGGTTATGACCTCTAGCAAAATCATTGGGAGGGCAACATGAGGACTCTTCTCCTTTGCAAATGCAAAGGCAGCAGCATCTGCATCTAGCTTCGGAGAAATCATAGGCTTTTGGGCAGCCTTAGCAGAAATACAAAGAAACCACATTTCTTGTGAAACAAAATGTTAGTTGAAGAACTGGTAACATAACTAGTGTAATTAGGCAAAGGGAACTCAGGAACAATCAACAAGGAGGAGGTGCTCTCCTGATAACTCTTTCTGTTTGTACAGTGCTGCCTTAGGCCAGTGTGTTAATACAGAAATGTACCAAGCTATTACTTCTCATTCTTGCACAGATACTTTGTTTTTATTACAGAAAAGCATTTTCTTTAAGATACATGATAAGTGGATGCTAGTTTTCTCCAACCAGCCCAACATTCCCTGGCGCTATTTGTTACACTGAAGCAATATCTAATTGAATACTTAACTTCCTTTGTTTACATTATTACATCTTACTATTACTGATTTCTGATAATCACATATTTATATGTGTGTGTTATTTAGCATCTGACTACAGTTGAAGTAAGTGCTCAGTGCTATTGTTAATATTCTTACATGTTTTACACTACAGGGAACCAGTTTATTTTTAAGAAGGATTTTAAATGGACCTAAAAGCCTCCTCCTGTGAGATGATTAAAGTCAAAAGACTTTTTTAGTTGGAAAGTTCATGCAATATCATCAATCTTCATTAAAATGTCTGCAAAACAAAACAAATTTCCAAACCCTAAGTGTATGCAACTTGTTATAAAAGAAGAAACTGAGAAATGCCACTGCTTCAATAGTGTAAAATTTGCTAGAAAAACAAGAAACAAGTCCTGCTCCCAGTGAAGCTAGGCTTCTTGCCAATGAGGTTAATGACACTCAGGATATACACTATTTTCTCTAGCTTAACAAGCACAAGGATTAATGGAATTGTGAGGAGACAATAATAATAAAAATGTCAAGGACATAAACCAAGACAACCTGACTTTCATTGCTAACTGATCTACTACTTTCTAGGAAAATGTAGATTGTATGCTCGACAAATAAACTCAGGGCACTGAAGAGCAGAATGCTTAGACTTGCCCTCTATGTCCTCACTTTTGAAAGGAATGATTCTGCAGCAGAGACTTCACTGCTTATGTGTTCCTAGTTTCCCTCTTGCAGAAACAATCTCAGTTCCCCAGATTCTTACAGCCTTCATGAAAGCAGGAACGTATCTTCTGAAAAGTGCATAATCTTCCATATGTCAAAAATGATAATATGGGCTAGGTTAGTAGTTGCCAAGCTTGGGTCCCCAGTTGTTCTTGGACTACGACTCCCAGAAATCCTGGCTAACACAGCTAGTGGTAAAGACTTCTGGAAGTTTTAGTCTAAGAACATCTGGAGACCCAAGGTTGGGAACCAATGGGCTAAGTGTTCCTCTTTAAGCATAGCTTGTAAACGCTGTTTATCTGAAATACGTTACTTTCTGTGAACATATGCATTATGGTACATACACACTTACAGACATCTTAGAAAAGTTACCTTTTGGACTACAATTCCCAGATTTCCCCAGCCAGAATGGATCTTGTAGCCAAAATATTAACTTTGCCAAGTTCAGCACATATATTTTAAAAAAGTAAAGCCACAGTGGGATTGCAAACTACCTCTGCTGCACACAAGTCATGCCATATCATTAAACAAAGTGAGGAAGCCATCTCAGGCAGCAGATTTTAGAAGTCATGATAGACCAGAACTTTGTCAAGTTACTTAATTTGACAAATTATATTGTTACTGGAGGTAGAGAGGAGAGGGGCTTCTGCATCAGTTGTCAAAATAATTTGTTTTTACTAACATGCATCTTTATTTGCCAAGAAGAGTAGAAGCTGAACCATTTGCTACTCTATCTCAGGCATCCTCAGAAAGCCTTGGTGTCACATTCATACCTCACATTTTATGTGTTAATGTAACAATTTAGTTTGTGGCACTCAGCAGCCCACTATGATCTTTCCATTTTCTTCTCTAAGACTCTAAGCTTGCCAATGTATTTGACAATGCGGTTTTCATCTAAGTAAACGTGCACAGTATTATTCTGTGAAACTGTTAAAAACTCCTAGGTAAAGGTAAAGGTTCCCCTTGACAATTTTTGTCCAGTCGTGTTTGACTTTAGGGGGCGGTGCTCATCCCCGTTTCCAAGCCATAGAGCCAGCATTTTTGTCCGAAGACAATCTTTCGTGGTCACATGGCCAGTGCGACTTAGACATGGAACACTGTTACCTTCCCACCAAAGCGGTCCCTATTTATCTACGTGCATTTGCATGCTTTCGAACCGCTAGGTTGGTGGGAGCTGGGACAAGCAACGGGAGCTCACTCCGTCATGTGGATTCGATCTTACGACTGCTTGGTCTTCTGACCCTGCAGCACAGGCTTCTGCGGTTTAGCCCACAGCGCCACCACGTCCCCTTTTAAAAACTCCTAGCTGAAAACAAATTAAAAAGCCACCTATACACTTCCAAAAGTATAGCCAGAACCATGGGTGGCTCGTGGCAGGTGGCTGACTTACCCCAAAATTTCTGAGAGGTGCTCTGCCTGCTCTGCCCCCAAACATAGTTAGTCAGATATTTTCCAGTTATAATTCTCCATCTTTCACACAAAAGAAGGCAGACTTCCGCCAGCAGTTTTGGAGTAAGATGAGCCAAAGACAAGGGACTCACCCAAAGTATGCAACAAGGGAGGGGGGAGAGGGGTTGCAGATTTTTTTAAAAAATGAAGGGACCAATGAGGAATTCTGTTCAGTGTTTCTAAGAACTGCATAATATCAAGTACGCAAGTTGACTAAAAATTAGTGTGTGGGCTTGAATGTGTCTGCATGAACGAGTCAGCTTGAATTCCTCACAGCTTGACACCTCATACACTCTAGGCCTTGGTTGTAACAGACCAAAAGCCTACCTAGCCCAGTGTTCCCTTTCCACAGCGGCCAGCCAGATGGCTATAGAGACTACAGTAGTAGGGTATGGGCCCAGAAGTATCCTTCCCCACTCTTAGTTCCCCAATAGCTGCTCCCTAAATGCATGCTGTGTCTGGTATTTGTTTCTTTGTTTGTTTTCATTTTATGCTGCCTTTTTCTCATTAAATGATCCCAAGGCAGCTCATCAATCATTTAAAAAAAGGTGAAAGAGACAATAAATTATTACATTAAAAACAGTTAACCATATTAAAACAATTAGTTAAAAGTTAAAAACACATTAAAATATACATGAATAAAGAGTATTGTCGAAGGCTTTCACGGCTGGGATCTAATGGTTGTTGTGGGTTTTTCGGGTTCTTTGGCCATGTTCTGAAGGTTGTTCTGCCTGATGTTTCGCCAGTCTCTGTGGCCAGCATCTTCAGAGGACTGGAATAGGAACTCTGTCCGTGCTCTGTTCAACTATCCAACAAACAGCAACAGAGCACGGACAGAGTTCCTATTCCAGTCCTCTGAAGATGTCAGCCACAGAGACTGGCGAAACGTCAGGAAGAACAACCTTCAGAACATGGCCAAAGAACCCGAAAAACCCACAACAGCCAAACATGAATAATGTGCAGTATCCATGATCAAAATTCTTTCCTGCCCAGTTTGTTTTCCTCAGTTGGAAGAAGGCTAAAAGGAAAGGGGCCAAACTAGCCTCCTGGGGGACACCATCATACAGCCTGGGAGCAGCCTCAGAGAGGACCCTCCAAATGTTCCTGTGAAGGAAGCAAAACTCAGAGAAAGATATCCCCTGAAGATCTCAGAAGCCAAGAATGCTCACATTGGGAGATATAATCCATCAAATAGCCTAAACCCATGCCATATCAGGCTTTATAAGTCCTAGCCAGCACCCTGAACCGAGCCCAGAAATGAATCAGCAGCCAGTGACATTGCTGTAACAAGGGAGTTATACGCTCCCTCTGATTGACTCCAGTCAGTATGCTTCAGGCAACTGAACAGACATCACCAGAGGGCCAATACAGGAATCAAACAGATGATATAAGTGGAAGCAGGAGATGGAGAGGCTGCTTTCTCTTTGCTAAAACAAGGCCAGGAGTGAATTGTGGTACCGATCATGAACTGTTAATATCCAATATTACAGTAAAGCTGTGGGGGGGGGGGCCCCTAAAACTGATTCATTTGTAATATTGTGCTAAAGGAGAGCTCTGTGGATACCTTAGACTGGCAGGAAAAAGGGAAAAAAGGGGATCCTAGATCAAATCAAGCCTCAACTATGTCCACAAGCAAAACTGAGGCTGTCCTACTTCAGGCATATCATGAGAAGGCATATCATGTCTTAAAAAGCCAACAATGCTGGGAAAAGGTGATGGCAGCTGGAAATGACCAAATATAAGATGGCTTCACTTCATCAAGGAAGACACAGGCTTGTGTATATACAGAAGCTAAGTAGGGTTGTTGAAGACAGCACATTTTGGAGATAACACATTCATAGGGTTGTCATAAGTCAGACACAACCTGATGGAACATAACAACAGCAGCAGCAGCACTGTCTTGTCTGAATTAAGTTTCAGTCTGTTTGCCATCATCCTGTCCATTGACTGACAATGGTTTAAATTAGAAAAAGAACAGCTTTTTTTTAGAGTTGTGGAAAGGAGAGAGTCGGTTGTCATCCACATACTGGTGACACCAAACTCCAAAATTTCAGACATTCATGTATATGTTAAATAGCATGACAGAACAGAATCCTGAGGGACACCAGGACTCCTTCATCCCCACCTTCTGAAATCACCCCTCCATGAAGGACCAAAACCACCATAAAATAGTGCCTCCAAGTCCCATCTCAGAGAGATGCCCCAGAAAAATACTACAGTCAATAGTAATGAAAGCCACTAAGAGGTTTAGTGGAACTAAGAGGGACACACTCTCCCTGTCCAGATTCTGGTGTAGGGCATTCACCTAGATCAGTGGTTCTTAACCTTTGTTACTCGGATCTTTTTGAACTGCAACTCCCAGAAACCCCAGCCAGCACAGTTGGTGGTGAAGGCTTCTGGGAGTTGCAGTCCAAAACTCCTGAGTAACCCAAGGTTAAGAACCAGTGACCTAGATGACCAAAGCTGTTCCAAGACCATGCCTGAATCTGGACTGGAATGGATCGAGATAATCTGGCTCATCCGAGAACCTCTAGAAGTAATATACAACCACTATAACTAGTAGCCACTGAAAATTTAGGTTTTCACACAACAAAGGGCATCTTTCTTTCATCTTCTATGTTTCCTATCGTCATTTAGTCATGTCCGACTCTTCGTGATCCCATGGACCAGAGCACGCCAGGCCCTCCTATCTTCCACTGCCTCCCGGAGTTCTGTCAAATTCATGTTGGTTGCTTCGCACTGTCCAGCCATCTCATCCTCGGTCGTCCCCTTCTCCTCTTGCCGTCACACTTTCCCAACATCAAGGTTTTTTCCAAGGAGTCTT